TTTGTGTGTGTGTGTGTGTGTGTGTGTTTGTGTGTGTAGGTGTCCATGGAGGCCAAAAGAGGGCATCAGATCCCCTGGAGCTGTGAGCTGCCTGACATGAGTGATAGAAAACACATCTCAGGTCTTCTAGAAGAACACAGTGCCATTAACCAATGACCCATCTCTCCAGCCCCTATGGAGTTTTGAAAGATCACAAGGGGTCTTTTGTATCTGCTGAAATCACATGTGTCCTTGGTGATGTTGTTGGTCAAGCGGTAGGGTGTGGTGTCATGGTGATAGCAACCCGCTCTGTGTCTGCCCTGTTATGAAGCTGGAGCCTTGTCATGCTCATCACCACTCCAGTTCCACAGCCGCCCTGACACGTGGCTGTGGCTCAGTCTGACCTCACACGGCCCCGGGAAGGTAAAACTGCAAATAAGTCAGCTCACTGAGCCTCACTGCTGCTCTTAGCACTCAGCCTCTGCCCCTCCTGATGTGCCTTATACACCAAATGAGAAAGCATGTCTTTCAGGCAGGCTGTGGCAGGAAGTGGTCGGCCAGGCAGGGGAGTGTGGTCCTCGCTGACCCACCCCATGGGCATGTTCACACAGGTTTCTTGGTTACCGCTCACTTGCTCAGAGTTGCAGCGGTCCCCTTTTCAAGTCATCTTTTGCAGCCTAACGGTTGGCATTTTATATAGCTCTGTACACGAACAACTGTGTGTTCTTGATATAAAAGGAAGCTTAACAAGCAGGGCAAGGCCTGCTTTGCTGGGCAGTATGGGTGTGAGTCACGGTGTGTGTTTTATTATCTAATAGTTGGTGACTTTTATGAGAAATGGGCCTAAGGGGTCCCATGGGAGCGAGTGACAAGCTCCACAGAGAAACATTCCTGTCCGGTCTCCCTGGAAATAGTGGGACTCAGAGGTCTAAAGGCACAGAGAATGGCACAGGACATCCGGGAGACGTGGCTGGGCTGTTGGCAGCGTGCTGTGTGCTGTTTCCTCATGCCTGTCTCTTTCCTTGTTCCCTCAGTGGCATAATAGGGGAACGCCTGCCTATTAGGTATTACTTGACTTTTGGGATGCTGGCCAGCGGCGCCTTCACAGCCCTGTTCGGCTTGGGCTATTTCTATAACATCCACAGCTTGGGATTCTACGTGGTGACCCAGGTAAGGGCCTGATCTAGGCTCACTGTGAGAAACAGGATGGTTCAGGTCCCACCTCTGCCCACCTCTGCTAAGAAAGCAGGTGGCAGATGTTGGTGAGGAGCAGAACAGCGCCCCTCCAAGGTCAAGTCTCCAACAGCTGGCATGGGAAGGCCCTCCTCCCTTGGCACCTGCATGGCTACTTCCTGTTTCAGGAGCTGTCAGCCCGGCAGGTTAATGAGGTGTGAAGACTTAATGATCACTCCAAAGTGACCATGGGAGTGGCCAGGGTAGGAGTCACTGCCGCCAGCAGAGCATGGCTATGAAACCTTCACTGCAGGGCCCGGGGCAAAGCAGAGGCGCTGAAGTGCAGGGGTGGGGCCAGAAGCCCAGCTTGCCTTCCTCTAGAGCCCAGCCCTTGTGTCCTCTCCCAGAGTCCCATGGGTAAATATTGACTAGCAAAGGAAATGGGGTTGCCCAACCTCTCCAGATGGCCCAGGGTGGGGAGGTGTGATAGGAAAACCGATGCCACACTTGGTCTAATTTTGCTTTTCATGGCCATGCCATCGAGCCTGATAAAGCATAGCCGCTTTATTACAAGCATGCTTTGTTCCTGCCTGCACTTAGTTACCCCTTGGAGGAATCAGTTCTAGGACTCCTGTGTTAGCAAAGCCCACGGCTGCTCAAGTCCCGTGCATTAGGCAGCGCAGGGCTTGAATCTTCCTGTAGATTATTGGTCTCTAGGTTACTTATAACACCTACCCCCCCCCCCCACCGTGTGAGTGCTGTGTCTCTAGCTGTCACACTGTCTAGAGAATGTTGACCGGTCAGTATGGACGCAGCCATGGCAGGCCCAACAATGCATTTGATCCTTCCTCTTTGACTCCTTGGATGCAGAAGGGAAGGAAAGCGAGTCCCCAGAGTCCCAGCATGCTCCTGTAGCCAAGGCTGAGCTGTCCATCCAGGCACAGCAGCAGGTGGGCATGCTGCTCTCTGCATGCCTCCTGGAAGACCCATTGTCCAGTGAGACAGCCTGCACTGGGCCGTGCTTTTTGCCTCAGTTCTGATGACACCAGAGCTCTCCTGGTACCAGTCCCTTTGTTAAATGCCAGTCCAACTCCTGCTTGGAGAGGGTGGGAATGCACGCCAGAACTAGGTCAAGGAGGCGTTGGCTTCTGAGAAGGGATCTTCTTCGTGGGCAGTCAGGAAGACAGGCCATTTCTAGGCTGAATTTATGGCAGTGTCTAAGCCAGTCTGTAAAGAGAAAAGTTCTTGTCTCTACAGAATGTTTAGATTCCAACGAATCTGGAATGCTTAAGCCTGACCTGTCAGAGTGTTCCCAGCTGAGGATCCTGGCTGGATTGGCTTTATTTTTCAATTTTTTTAGGCAAAGTTTTATATGTAGTCCAGGCTGGCCTCAAACTCATAGCATTCAACCTGAGTACTGGGGTTATAGGTTTTTGAGCCACCATGTAAAGCTTGGGTTGGCTCTTTTACTTTGTGTGTGTGTGTGTGTGTGTGTGTGTGTGTGTGTGTGTGTGTGTGTGTGGTGTTATTTTTTGAAACGGGGTCTTGTGTTACCCAGGCAGATGTCAAACTCCCTTCTTCAACAGTCCTGCGTCAGCCGCCTTAGCAGCTAGGATGAGGGCCATGCACCACTATTCCTGGCTTATATATACTTTCTAATATATCCAAGTTTATAATATATCCAAGTTTCTGCATAGTTTATGTATATGAACTACTTATATATTTTAAATTTCATAATTTAAGCTGTGTATAAAAAGAAAGCTTTCTTCTCACCTTTGGTGGTTGAGACTGACATAAAGTACTGTCATTTCTGTGAGTCTCAGCTCAGGTTGGGGGCACGGGGAGGGACCAGCATCTCCCCTCAGTGAACCTCTTTCCCTGGCTACAGATCATTAACGGACTGGTGCAGACCACAGGCTGGCCCAGCGTCGTCACCTGCCTCAGCAACTGGTTTGGAAAAGGAAGGTGAGAAAAAAATGGCCCCCTCACCAGGCAGTGGTGGCACACATCTTTAAGCCCAGCACTCAGGAGGCAGAGGCAGGTGGACCTCTGTAAGTTAAAAACCAGCCTGATTTACAAGAGCTAGTTCTAGGACAGGCTCCAAAGCTACACAGAGAAACCCTGTCTCAAAAAACTAAAAAGGAAACAAAATGGCCTCCTCTTCAATAGCTTTTTTTTTTTTTTTTTTTGATTCTGATAAAAACTAGACCACAGGGGCTGGAGAGATAGCTCAGAGATTAAGAGTACTGACTGTTCTTCCAGAGGTTCTGAGTTCAATTTCCAGCAACCACATGGTGGCCTACAACCATCTGTATATAATGTGATCAGGTGCCCTCTTCTGGCATGCACTGTATACATGATAAATAAATAAATAAATCTTAAAAAAAAAAAAAAACTAGACCACATTATTTTCAAGTTTTCTTTCACCCTATTTCAGGAACATTAATGGCCTTCTCCTTGAAGCAATGCATTGAAACCTCTAAGAGGGGGGCTCTACAGTTCCCATGGGGCTATAGCCTTCAGAATCTGGAACCTATGTACTTTCAGAACACAGCCTTCCCCCTGGCCACTTAGGCAGGGAGTTTGACCTGGACTCCATACCTGAGATCTGTGTGGCCTTTGGCCTCAGCTTCCCTCACACTTGTGGGACAGAGAATCTAGGCCCCTTCCCCAGGCCTCTTGAATTGGAGTCTTCATCTGGCTGTGGAGTCTGAGCCATTCTGGCAGAGGTCACCTGGTCCATAATTAGCAGGCCCGGCCCAGCTCTAGTGATCCCAGTACAGTGCAGTCACTTGTAGTCCCTGCCTAGCTTAGCCCTGGTTAAGTAACCATAGAGACGCCACCCAAGATGGAGGAGCTAAAACGGGAGATGGACTCAGAAGCCCGATTTAGAAAGCCTGTTTTAGTTATTTGGCGTGTGTAGCACTGTGAGCTTCTGTCACCATGATAGCCAACCGACTACCATATTTGCGGAGGCACAAACTTAAATCCCGAGCCTTGATCCAAGAATTGTAGGAAAAGCCCCCTTCCTCTTTGAATCATAGACTCAAGGATCCTGAGGCGGAATGAAAGCACAGTTCTCCAAGGCGCAGCCACAGTCTTGCGCCTGCAGACGGAGCCTGTGTGGGGCCATGCTGGCCCCTCTGCCCTAGCTCTCATGCTGCCATGCTCTTGGCTCCTGTTTTACATGCAGACCCCGTTTTGACACCATTTTCCTCTTCTACTGTGTTGTAGGCGAGGCCTGATCATGGGGATCTGGAACTCCCACACCTCCGTGGGCAACATTCTGGGATCCTTGATTGCTGGCTACTGGGTGTCCACATGCTGGGGACTGTCATTTATCGTGCCCGGGGCCATCGTGGCAGCCATGGGGATAGTGTGCTTTCTCTTTCTCATTGAACGTAAGTATACATGTCCTTAGGGATGGACACCTGGGCTTTAGTCTTCAGGATAAGTTAGTGTGGACTGCGGTGCCACTGTGGGTGCCCGTATTCACCCTGGCTATCTCCTAGCCAGGCCCTGTACAGACTTTCCCAGCAGTCCCTTCTCTCCTAGCCTTGCTCAGTTTTCTACTCTCTCCCAGTTTCCTGAGTGACCCCTGTGGAAATCCCTTCCCCCTCATCTTCCTGTCCCCATCCTTCCCTTAGTCCCGAGTATCCGCCTCACTAGGGAGTCTCAGGTCCTCCTCAGACATCCACCTGAGGGCACAGGCCCAACCTACGTGGTTGCACCTGCTCACCCCGGCCACCTCCTCACGGGGACATGGACTTTACCAGCTTGTGTACTTTGTGATAAGCTGCGTCTCGGACAATGTCATAAAACCGTGGTGTGACTTAAAGCCATGTATCTTATTAGGTAAAGGTGTCTATAGGAAAATGAAGTCCATGTTCTAGTCCGGTCAGCCCTGGACTTCTGAATTAACAAATATTGAAAGTAACATCTAAAACAAAGGTTTGAGCAGCCTTGCTGCGGTTGAGGAGCCAAGCCCTTCTGACCCTCGTCCTGGCCGTGGTCTCATAAGTAAGTAGCCTGGCGATTTAGTTCTCAGATTTTAGCAAGATGAAAGCACATGACTCTGGTGTGTCGGGGTGGTCCCCAGCCTCTGCCCTCATCTCCAGGGCTCCAGTCCCTTTACCCTGCACACAGTGCCCCTGCCCCCGCCCCCGCCTCCGCCCCCAGCTCCCACACTGCCCTCACCCAAGAAATGAACATGTATCAGTGGGCTCAGTCCTCACATGGACATGACATGTATCTGTGGGTTCTGCCATCACTCCCTTTCCCCCCCCTTCTCAAGCCAGTCTGTTAGCTTTTCAGTGACCTCCATGTTGCCCAGCTGGGGAGATGTGGCCCTCCCTCTCGGGCAGCCCTCTGGGCAGGTGGAAAAAGAAAC